TCCTCCTCCTCCTCTTCCTTCTCCGCCTCCTCCTCCTCTTCCTTCTCCTCCTCCTCGCTCCCTCCATCCACCTCTTCCTCGCCCTCATCTTGTCCTCCGTCTCTCCTCCTCCCTCATCTCTCCCTCCCCCCTCCTCTTCCTCCTCCTCTCCTCCTCCTCCTCCTCCTCCCCCTCCCCTCCCCCTCCTCCGTCTCCTGACGCCCTCCTCCACCTCGTCCTTGCCCTCCTCCCTTCTCCCCCCTTGTCCTCCGTCTCATCCTCCCTCCCCCCTCCCTCCACCTCCTCCTCCTCCTCCTCATCTTCTTCCTCCTAATCCTCCTCCCCTTACTCCGACTACTTCTGCTGCTGCTACGACCACTTCCTCCTCCTTATCCTGATCATCCTCCTCCGCCTCACTCCTTCTCCTCCTCCTCCTCCTCCTCCTCCTCATCATCATCATCATCATCATCATCATCATCATCATCATCAGCAGCATCAGCATCAGCATCAGCATCAGCATCATCATCATCATCATCATCATCATCATCATCATCGTCATCATGATCAGCATCAGCATCAGCATCAGCATCAACATCAGCATCAGCATCAGCGTCATCATGATCATCAGCGACAAAATAATCATAATCCTGAACATCAGCAGCATCATCATCAGCATCATCATCGTCATCATCATCAGCAGCAGCATCAGCATCATATCATCATCATCAGCATCATCATCAGCATCATCAGCAGCATCATCATCATCAGCAGCAGCATCAGCATCATCATCAGCATCAGCATCATGACCAGCATCAACATCAGCATCAGCATCAGCATCATCATCACCATCATCATCGTCATCATCATCAGCATTATCATCCTAATTACTCCTTATCTCTCCGCCCTCCTGCTCCTCCTGCTCCTCCTGCTGCTCCTCCTCCTCCTCCTCCCTCCGCCTCCTCATCCTACTCCTCAGCTCTCCTCACTTCTCTTCACCTTCTCTCATCTGTTATCATATCTTCGCATCTCTCCTTATCTCTCCTCCTTTCCTCATCTCTCCTCGTCATCCTCCTCTTCTTCCTCCTCCACCTCCTCTTCCTCCTCCTCCTCCTCCTCCCACCTCCTTCTTCTCCTCCTCCTCCTCCTCCACCTACTCTTCCGTCTCCTCGTCCTCCTCCTCCTCCTACTCGTCCTCCTCGTCCTCCTCCTCCTCCTCCTCCTCCTCATGATTATCCTCCTCCCTCTCCCTCCCTCCCCTTCCTCCCCTTCCTCCTCCTCCTCCTCTTCCCCCATCCTTCTCCTCTTCCTCATGTTTTTTCTCCCTCCTCCCCCCTTCTTCCTCCCTCCTCTTTCTCATCCCTCTCCTTCTTCCCTCCCTCTTTCCCTCCTCTCCCTCCTTCACTCTTTCCTCTCTCCTTCATCCCCCTTCCTTTCCTCGGGGATCGGGGCGCCATGCAAGATTCAGGATCGGGAAGACAGGCAGGCTGGAATCTGGACAGCAGAACAGGACCGAGGATCGATTGCTCGTTTTTATGCGTCCAGCGATCTTCGCTTCTGAAATCGGCTCTTTGTTTCTGGGTCTGGTCGTGGGCGGAGGCGCCCTCTGGCGGGGGGGGCAGGGCGGGGGGGGGGTCGGATCGAGGATCGAGGAGCAGGGCAGGGGGGATCGGGGAGCAGGACAGGATCGAGGGTCGAGGAGACACGGGGGCAGGGCAGGGAGGGTCGGAGGTGGGGGACAGCATCGAGGCTGGAGGAGCGGGGCTGGAGGAGCAGGGCAAGAGATCGAGGGTTGACTTCTTCCCCTCAGAAACGCGGCCATGGTGCGAGCGTGAGGACCGGGGGAGCGGGGCGAGACCGAGGATCGCTGCTTCGTTTCTGGGACACGGACCTTCCCGCAGTCGCGGCCCGTGGCGCGCGACGCGCAATCCTCTTGGCGCCAGCGCGCCCTGGGCCCTCGCGCTGCCCCTTGTGGAATGGCAGGAGCTCGGGACCAGACCGCGACGCACGGCGCGCGATCATCGTCGCGCCCCCGCGGACGACGCGTGGGGATGGAGGATCGAGGAGCAGGGCAGGATCGAGTACAGTAGGAGCTCGACCACAAGAAACCTTCCACACGAAACCGAACCCTGAGACCCCAGGACGTGCGTTGATTTTGGGTGTGGAGACGTCACGCTTTCCATAGCAAATCCATCGAACCCCCAGAAATCCAGACCACCCTGGAGGCAAGCAGGGTGTTTTTTTGTTGGCGTGGGTTTCCAATGTATCGACGTTTCCCCATCCACATGCTCATCGTGCTACCATGAGGAGCCCTGAGATCACCCAACCGACCCAAACGTAGGACCCATGGGGGCCCATCCGGAGGGAAATCATTTCTGGGGCGCCCAGGGGGTCAGGCTCACGCGGAGGAAAAACAGAAATCCCTGGCGAGGGGTTCGACAACGGGGGTTACCTACGCCTCCAGTTTCGGAAGGGGAATGAACTCTCAGCCGCGAGGGTGCTCGCGCGTGAGGGTCCACCTCAT